TGGGCCTTCCCTTCTGCAAGATGGGGTAGAGCCCTACCTGGCAGGGCCCTGCCCTCTTCAGGTTGCTGCCCCCTGGGTAGGCTTGCTTTCCTGCCTGACAGATCCTGATCTATCTTAGAGGCATGTCTCTAATGACCCTTGCATTGTCCTGCTCAGCAGGACTGCAGATGTTAATAACTGTGACATTATCCCGTGCCTTTCATGACTCTAGTCAGTGTTGGTCCCAAAGCCCTCCCAGGACTTCATCTCTTTCATTCACTTTGCTTCCCATGTCGGCCCCTCCCCACTGCTTGTGTAGGCATGAGACTCCAGGCTGTTTCTTGCTGTGTAGTGTGCACGCAGGCCATTCTCAATCGTAAGGATGCCAACCTCCACGCCCATCTCCAGACCCTTTCCCCTCAAATTAAAAGTAACTTGTTACTGCTTATTAGGAAATCAATACATCTTCATGGATGGAAAAAATTAGAAAAATGCAAATAGGCGAAAAAGAAGGAGAAAAATCTATACTCCCATCTTCTAGAGAGAAATATTGTTAAGATTTTTATGTTACAACTTTACAGACACTTTCCTGTACAAATAGAAAGGCAGGAGAAGATGCTATAATAATAATGTGAATTATAACTAACATTATTGACAGCTTTGTAAGTTTGTTTTCATTTACTTAGTGTGGGAGTGAGAGAGCACAAGAGCATACAGACAGAGAGACAGACAGACAGACACACACACAGACAGACACACACACACACACACACACACACACACACACACACACACACACACACAGCTATAGAGCACATGTGGGGTCAAAGGACAAGGTCCAGGAGTCAGCTCTCTCCTTCCACTCCGTGGGTCCCAGGGACTGAGTTCAGGTTGGTAGCCTTACAAGCACCTTTAACTGCTGAGCCACCCGGCCCTCCACTGTTTTCTCAGTGTTGACTCAGCGTTTCCATTTCCGTGTGTGAATTAACTCACCAGATCCTCTGGAGAAACCCCTGGGGGAGGTTAGTTTCTAGTTCCATTTTGCAGACAGGAAACTAAAGCATGAGTCCCTCCGTGCCACACACAGTGGTGCACACCGTAGTCCTAGCAACTCAGGAAGTTGAAGCAGGAGGATGGCTCAAGTCCAGGAGTTGAAGAACAGCTCGGGCAACACAGTGAAAATTCCCAGGAAGATAATTTAAAAATCTGTTCACAGCCTCTCAGCCATCGAGGTGAAAGAGGCAGGAAGTGAACACGTGAGGCTGGCTCAAGGCTCCGAAACCTTCAGTCGTGGCTTACACTGTTAACATCCTGCTTTGGGACTTCATAACCCCCTGGTAACCATCCATGTCCCTCCTAATCTACTGTGTGATGCTGAGTGGTTATGATAGGCTTCCAAAGTATGGGGATGATGACATTTCTTTGAAGAAATGTCAGTTTTCCATTTCTACGTCCCCATCTTAATTTATATTTAATTTTACTTCTTGCCATGATAGCAACTACCTGGCTTACGATTTCATGAGACGACTTCTTCAGGGGTGTGGCTGCAGGGAAAGCAAAGGCTGAATGAAGGACATGAACGGTGTTCCATGGCTTTCACACTTGTAAGGCAGACTCAGGATTTGGTTTCATTCACTGTTTCGAGAGTTAACTGGTCTACTTAAAAATGGTTAATAACTATCAAACAGTTTCTGTGTGGCAGGCACATCTTGTCCTCACTGCTGAAGTGCTGATGTTTACTCACAATAAGTTCAGGCTCAACATGAGATTCTGGGGCAATCAGAGAGGATGGAGGGAGGAAACTCTTCTTTCGGGAGCTGTTGCTGCTGGTGTTGACTCGCTGCCCAGTTACCAAGGTTCAGTTTTTCCTGTTCTCCCTTCCTCCCTCCCTCCGTTCCTCCCTCCCTCCCTCTCTCTCTAGCTCTTTCTTCTCTATTTCCCTCCTTCCCTCCCTCTTTGCCTCCTTTCCTCTCTGTCTCCATCCTTTTCTCCTGTCTTCCTGTATCTGACCATTCCACCCTTCCCTTCATCTGGAAACAGCACAGTTAAATACCCAGACACTCTACGGTGGCTCCAGTCTCAGCCCTGTTCTGGAAGGACATGCTGGCATTTCACACTTCGTCTCCTTTGACTTACTGCCTGGGTCTATATTTGGCTAGAATCGTCCACCACGGCAGAGCTTATTTCAAATTTTTAGCTGATATCTATGCAAAGTTCATTTGGACTGAGTACAGGCTGATAGGATGGACTCCATAAACTTTACAACTTTTGGGAAGGTCCATTTATCCTTGACTTAGAGTAGGAATTCAGGTTCCACACAAGCCATGTACAGAGTCCAGACCTGTTCTTTTTTCTATGGCATGCATGGATGCTTGGCGCACAGTGGCCATCAGACACACACTTGTGAAGTGGAAGGAGAATCCCCCGGGTCGTGTTGCTGTAGGTTAGTATGGCTAGTTAGTAGGCTGCAGGTTAGCATGACTAGTTAGAAGACTCCAGGTTAGCATGACTAGTTAGTAGTTCTTTGAGTGAAGCAACTTGCTAACCATGTTTCTTCTCAAAGCTGCCAACACCCCAACTCCCTTGTAACTCGGGGTGATCCAGTGAGATCATCCCCACAGGCTTTACTTCCCCTACGGAATTATCGTGCAAGTCCTCCGAGCGTTAACTTTTAAGCAGAAGTCAAATTTTGAAAGAGATGCAGCTTCAATTTCAGGAAATCCTGTAGGACAAGGCATTTTAGCCCTTTACCTCATTCTGACTTAGTATAGATTATTTTCATTCCCATGGGTGTTACTTAGGCAAGAGCAGGGTAAGGGAGACTGGGGTTATGTCCACTCAATATCCCTACCCTTTCTCTTCCGCTTAAGGAAGCATGCTGGCTGAGACTTTGAAAAATAACCATAGCAAAAATATGGAGCAATGGAGCAGGTGCTAGGATACCAGCTCAGACATCCCATCATGTGTGGATGGGGAATTGGTCCTTAGCTCCTCCCCAAACCTGCAGGGACAAGTGGGACCCTGATTGTCCAATCAGAAATCCATGTGTAGCTGAGGATAGTTAGGAATGTGGCTCAACAAAAAATTGTGGACTTACTGAACCATTAGAATTTTTTGTAGCGTGTTGTGTGTGTGTGTGTGTGTGTGTGTGTGTGTGTGTGTGTAACTCCACTGTGTGATTCTCAAGTGTGAGCTTTGTAGTCATGATATTGTTGGGTTGTAGTGCAAAATGTTGGTCATGGCTGAGCAGATTAGTGTCGAGCTAAATGACCGACTCTGGAAAAAATAAAGTTTATTCCTCCCTCTCAATACGGACAAAACTGAATTCTGAGTGGATTAAAGACCTGTGTATGACAGGGAAAGGCATGAGCCGCATAGAAGGGGATGTAGTCTTTATGGCTGTCGAGTTTGGAGCAATTTCCTATCTGAGACCCAAACAATAGAAACCTTTAAAGAAAAAATTACTGGCTACACACACTCAAAATTAGAGATTTCAGTTCGGAAGAGTTAACCTACCTGACAGACAGCATTGGAAAAGATGTGTGTGGGGCCTAAAATCAATAAGGACGGAGGGTTTGAAGGACTCCCACAGACTGTCAAGAGAAAGGTAGGAGCTTCCTCAGGAAAACACGGACAAAGGGGCGAGACATTTACAGCAGGAGAAACCCAACTGCTGATAAGCATATGAAGAGACACTCATTTCCCGGGTAATCAGAGAAATGCACATTTAAGTTACAATTTGACCCACTTCAAAATCATCAGATTGATACAAATGGAAAATTGTATTATGTATCAAGTGCTGAAGAGAATGTGGAGAAATGAGAGCCCAGCTCTGCCGAGGGTGGAATTTTCCACACTGCACTTCAGCATCCCACTCCTGTGGACTCCAGACACAGGCTTACACCCCTGGGTGGGGAGGGCGCGTGTCTGTAGAAGGGGTTCCTGGGCAATGACCTGTGTCCCTGAAGGTAGAGGTGTTCTTGGCCAAGATCCCAGGCAAAGCCACCATGGGGAGGCAGAGTCATCGGCCGCCATAATCATATTGAACATGACAGGAAGCACGGAAATGTGAGAAAGATAATGAGAACCATTGTCAATTAAACACGCACACAGAAAGCAGTATCATATATTATTCAAGGGTAGTCATACATCTGAGTAAACAGAAGTGAGGGAGCTCGAGAAAGGGAAATGGGGGCGGAGGTCAGGCGGTAGATGAGCACACAATACAATTCAAGAAGGGCTTGGGCTTATGAGATAGCAGGCATGTGGCATTAGAAAGGGGAATTAATTCAGCTCTGTGAATCTCTGGTCCAAAAGAAAGGAAAAAAGGTAAAATCAAATTGGAATTCGGGGTGAGCAGAAGGTATCCTTATATGGTAATGACGCTGAGGTATTCTGTTTAAGGGCTGCATAATAAATCATTGATAAGTTTCAATTCTTCATTATTTGTAATGGATTTCTTGCAACACACTTCCCAGCTGTCAGGGCCCCAGGGTGGAGCCATAGCCAGAACCCAAGAGGCTCAATTCTTTACCTACCTCAAGCCTGAAGAAGTGAATATAGCCAAAAAGACAGGGCGCCGGGGTGGGGGGGAGCAGCCTCAATATTCAAGGCACAATTAGAAGAATGACTTAGGAAAGGTCTGCAATTACTATTCCATAAAGACAGAGTCTGAATACCTCTTTATCCATATTTCATTGGCTCCATCTAATATTTAAAGTCTCCCCCCCAATATTTGTAGAATGAAAAGCAGAAATCTAAATGGTTCTAACGTTATTTCCCCAGTTCCCACAGGCTGCACTGCTCGGTGTCAGTCTCTGAATTCATAACACAAACGAACAGAAGACAAAAATCATTTGCAGGATTCTGAAAGGGAGGATTTCAACACAGAGAGACGGTTAAAATGTGCAAAGCTGGAGAGGAGGCGGTCCTTAAAACCCATCAAGGACGTGGGAAGGGAAGCTTCATGAGCTCCTCTCTCCCTCCACTCCAGTCCCTCCCCCCTCCCCCCCTTCCTCCACCCCACCCCATTTACACCAAGCTACCTTGTCAATTTCCTCAGAGAAACTCGAATGGATTTTTCTAACCTGCTCCAACTCCCATTGATCAGTTAATTAAGCCGATCTCTAGGAGGTTGTTGAGGAACCAGCTCCTTTCTCCTTTTATGTTTCACGGTCCCAAACAAACTCTTCAGAGGCACACAGCTCAGGGAGAAGGACACTCCTTGCTGAAATCTTTCCCTGCACACAAATGCATCTATTTTCAGTGTGTCTAGGGATTTCACTTGTGGAGCATCCTTACTGTGAACGCATTTCGGAGCCTCTTGCTTCCAGGCCAGGATCAAGTGGCTGTCTTTGCTGTTTACTTACTGTTTCTTATTTTTAAAAATGCAGTGGTTGGGTTTGCCCAGAATTGCTGTCTCTTGCTGTCTTCATTTGCTTTGAGGATTCAGGTGGAACTGCAGAGAATGTGTCAACAGCCGAAAGGCAGTGTGTGTGGCTCACTGCTTCAGTGTCGCATTGAGAAGTCACTCTGTGGATCTACATGCAGGTGAGCACGGTTAATATCCAGACCTGGTTGAGGAGGGGAGTGAGGCCAGTGCACGGGGCTCTAGCTCTCTGTCTCCAAGGTTCTTCTGGCCACTTGAAGCACATATCCCAATGAGGAAGAAAAGAAGGATGGCATACGGAACGGAGCTAAGATTGGTGTAGAGTATTCGCTAACTAACTAACCTCTTCACCCTCCCGACACTAGTCCCTGTGGCCCGAGGCAGAGACTGAGGCAGAGGGAGCTGAAATTGCAGCCCTAAGATCCCTGGAGAGTCTTCAGACCAAGGAAGGCTTGGGAGGCCTGCAGTGTGGTCCTTTAAAGAAATGCCTAAAGAAGGACTAAAACACACACTTAGACATGGCGGCCCTGGGCGTGAATAGCTGGGAAGGGAGAAACGCACTTAGGGAGTGATGGGCAGGGGGCCAAGCTAAAGCCAGAGATGGGCTCCTGCTCTCAGAAGTGGCCACTTTGGGGTACACCTTGCTCTTCTCCTGACTTGGTGCTCTGCTGATAAGAACAATTTAGTTTGGTTCACCTCCTTATATACACACACAACACTTACTAAACTAACCTCAATTTGGTTTAATTCCTTACATTTTTATCAAGGCCTCTCAGTTACTTCTGGAAGAATTGCTTTGATAATGACTTTTCAACTGTAAAGAAGAGGGTCTGATTTAACGTGATCAACCTACATCTTATTCGGAAGTGTTTGGAGAGGCACAGAACTCAGTAGTTTTGGATCCTTTCTTTTATTATGCAATGGTTGTCTTAGTGAGAGTCATGCATCCCTCACCAGCATAATGACAGCTCTGAGTCCCTCTGAGAAGTCTGTGGTATTTTTCAGCTCAATTTCCATGGCCTTTTTGCACTGTGTTCTAGGTTTTGTAAAATTATTTATCTATGGAGGAGTGGTGCTGAGGTCTAGGTAGATGGAAAGATAGGAGGCCGGGCGGGGGGGAGGGGGGGGAATCTCCAGATGAAGAACTGTGGGCACGGAGGTAGTTTTATGGCATCCCACCGGGTAGCCCACTTGGGAAAATCAACACTACTTTGAAACAATTCTTGGAATAAAACTGGTGTTTTGGGCTGGGCTATAGCTTGGTGATAGAGAGCTTACTTGGCATGTGCAAGACCCTGGAGTCAATCTCAAGTACTATGAACAAGAGGTACCTGTTGTTTCCACCTTCTGCATTTAACAGTCACCAAGGTAATATGATAGCCTAATATTCAGGAACTCACAAACACACAAATGATCCAAGTGTGGGATGGTAACACCGACCTTTCTAGAAGTAGATACAGAGCACAGAGGTTTGGGCAGAAATATGGAAGCATTCAAGGAATTTACAGACAAATCAAAATCCAAGGCGACATTCCTAAGTCCTAAGTCATAGAAACCAGCAGAGACAATATTTAGTGTCAATAAATACGTGGTAGAGAATAGGCTTTAAAGACCATGGAATAATGGCAGGATCAGGGGCACCATCTCAGGACACAGTAGATCTAGACCTAGACCAAGAGGTCCTGTTGTCCTGTGATCCAGCTGTTACTCTTCTATCAGCATGGACACATTGCATCAGTCCTACACATTTTAATGTCCTCATCTACAAAATGGAAATTAATAATATAATTAATAACAGACCCTACCAGAAAGAGGTGTTGGGGGACTGAGTGAAATGGTACATATTAGGTGCCTAAGGGATTGCTTGGCAAAGAAGCCAGCACTCAGTAAGAGTTAATGGAGATTTAATAGTAATAATTTACTATTCACAAAAGACTCTTCCAGAAAAGCAAAATGGAAAGGCCCTAGACCAGCGCGTAGTTTTCCTGGTTGTGGTCAGTTTACCACTAACCACCTTGATGGTACACCGCTGTCCACCGGCACAAGAAGCAACAGAAAAATCACAGCTTCAGACTTCACATTTGTCCTCAGACAACTTAAGCCACAAGGAAGGCAAATATCTGGAAGGCCTGAGAGAACGCAGAGCTATTGTGTGCTCCTGGGAGGCGCCATCATTGCGAAGAGCCTCCTGTCAGTACAGAGCTCTTTAAAGGAACCACAGTGAGAGATGGGGAAGAAATCTGCAAGGCTTTTAAAGAAGCTTCGGTGGACTTAATGAGCTCAGAGTTTACAAAGTCCTCTGCAGAAAACTGAGAAAAAAGCATGAGACCAAGAATGATTGTAAGAGAAGTGTTAGGAAGATGGAAGTCTAAAATAAGCGGAGGCATGTAAAAAAGAAGGTCTTAGGCAAGATGTGGAGAGGGAGAGGCCGACCATGGGCTGAGTGGATGGTGAATGGATAGCTTCATACGGCGAAGTCAGAGCCCTGTGATTAAATACTTTTGTCTGTTTTCTCCAACAGGAATCAGGGCAGAACAGCATTTGGAGGAATAAAGGGCATTGGCAAGTAACGATAGAGCCAGGGAGTCTTCAAGGGGCATCATGGGTGAGCTCACAGTTGGGTGGAAAGTGCAGCAGTAAATGAATTATGTACCCAGGCAACTTGCAAATGAGATTCTGCAGTCCATTACTGGTTGAAATTGAAAGAATCTCAGAGAATGGAAGATGAGCTGAGAAAGAAACGCTGGTGAGCACATTTGCTTCTTTTCAGAAATGGAGAGGCGGTTGAGCTCCTGGAATTTGCTCTTAGAATCACAGACAGGGAAGCTGGTGGGTCCCCCTGGGGTAGGAACTGGTCATGGAAGGGGTAACTGGGTGAGCTCCCCAGACTACATGGCAGGCTGCAGGACAAGTCATCATGGGTGGGTCCCGGTCTCTTCCTTTTTCCCTTTCATGTTCTTGGGCCTAGGGTCCCCCGAGGTCAACTGAACTGTGCATCTGGATTTCATGAAGTCTCTCATGCTGCTGTTTTTGCAAGAATGATTAAAACGGGTCTGCGAGAATAACTACACTGAATGAGAAATGATAATGGGAGATCTCCAGCAGGAAGGACATTTCTGATGGTTTCTTGCTCTCTCTTTCTTGTCTAGTCTAAATATTTTTTTATTATTGTTGTTTTTCCATTCTAATATTTACTACACGCCCACTGTGCATCAGGACATCTGTTTAAACAACTTTCTCACATGCACAGTTAGATGAAGCCAGAGGTTGACCTGTTAGCTTCCGAATACCTGTGTCCCGAGCTGCTGCTGTTTACTTTCCTTGATGGGCTGCGGACAGAGGGCAGACGGGAAGACACACGCTGAGGTCAGCAGTCTCCAGCGTGGTATCTCCAGGGTACAACTGCAGCAGGAAGCAATTTAACTGAGCAAACTCAAGACCCTGGAGGAAGGTTAACTGCGAGACCCCTAGGCATGTACAGTATAGGGAGAAATGGAGGAGCTTGGGAGTTTGAGTAAACAAGAACTGGGTGGCAGGAAGCTCAATCTGAGACAATCAAGTGACAGGCAAAAGCCAAAACACAAGAAGACAGTCTAGTCCCTTAGCTTTCAGTCAGTTTTAAGAGAATAGCTAGAGATTTGGAGTCATTAGCATACTTTGATGGATTAGCGCGAGAAGGCAGAATTCCTCACCCAGTTTTTCTGTCTGTCCTTATTTTCAGAAATACATTTAAGATTCAGCCATGGTGGGAGAAAGTCATGAGCAGAGCATGCTGGGAACTGCAATTTCCTGGAGGCCTTCTTTTCACAGGAGCAGAGCCTGTGTTCTCAGTGAAAGCATCCAGAACCCACCACCATCCCCAAAACAGAAGCAGCACCCTGCATTCAGTTGGGAAGGGGGAACTTCTGAGACTACTTGAGTGCTCTTGCTCTTCCCACATTGGAAAGACCCATCCCACACTGGGAAGATCCATTCCCAGGATAATGCCTTTCAAACTTGACTGTTGCCTACAATAAGAATTGCACTTTGCTTCTCAGTTCAGACTGCACACAAACACCCACAGGGCTACTGAAGCAAGCATTCCAGATAAATCATTTGTCTTTATTGGGTTTAAGTGACTTTGATCTGGTCCATTCTGTTTTATTCTAGTCTATTCTGTCCAGTTTTATTCTCTATCAAAGCTACTTAAAAATGCTTATCCAGATCATTCATGAAATGGATTTCCTGCCTCCCCCCCTTTTTGAGTTAGGGTTTCTCTGTGTAGCCCTGGCTGTCCTAGAACTCACTTTGTAGACCAGGCTGTCTTAGAACTCAGAGAGATCCACATATCTCTGCCTCCCGAGTGCTGGGATTAAAGGTGTGTGCCACCTCCATGCCCAGCTCATTTCCTGGCTTATTAATGGGTTGTAACTCATAGTTTAAAACTCACTGGAGCTGGGACAGGCAGGTGGGAGCTGTGTCACGTGGGAACCTGTGACCATTGCTCCAAGTCAGTGGTTCTCAACCTTTCTAATGTTGCAACCCTTTAATACACTTCCTCATGTTGTGGTGACCCCCAACCATAACATTATTTCATTGATACTTAATAACTGTAATTTTGTTACTGTTATGAATCAGAATGTAAATATCTTGATATGCAAGAGCTATGATATGTGACCCCCAGAAGGTTCACGACCCATGGATTGAGAACCACTGCTCCAAGTCCACAGAGAATCTGCAAGCAGACAGGAGATGACACAGCTTCTTCTGAGAGCTGTGGGTATTCAAACTTGGCTGAATGAAGGTATGATGGGCATGCTGTCAAATGGTGAATCAAGCATCAGATGGGGATGGCTGGGGATGGTTTTAGTCACCGGTCTATCGCTGTGAAGAGACACCATGACCACAGCAACTCTTATAAAGGAAAGCATTTAATTGGTGCTGGCTTACAGTTTCATTATCATCATGGCAGCAAGCAGGTAGACATGGTGCTGGAGAAGGAGCTGAGAATTCTCTATCTTGAGTCACAGGCAGCAGAAGAAGGAACTCCACATTGGGCATGGCTTGAGACCTCCAAGCTGCCCTCACCCTCGCCCTCACAGTGACACACTTCTCCAACCAGTCCACACCTACTCCAACAAAGCCACACCTTCTAGTAATACCACTCCCTGTGGGTCAAGCATTTAGACACATGAGTCTATGGGGGCCATACGTATTCAAACCACCTCAGCATGAAACCATCTGTATGTTTCTTTCCGTTCCTTACATGCCCTGGGTTTATTAGTGGAATTGGCTGATGAGAAGTTCCTGCCCTTGTAGGCACAATTAACAGAAACATCTTGGGAGGGGAAGCAGAGTTCCTCGCAGCCATTCAGATTACATATCTGTATGAGGACTGTCCTAGGAGCGTATTTGGAGGTGTAGTTTAAAAGTTTTCCTTTCACACATTCTATAAATACTGATAGGCCTATGTAGGCCAAGCCAAGCCCTGAGCAATGCTTGGGACTTTTAAGTCAACCCAGCCCCTACTGGCTGAAGGTACCTGTTTGGTGAGAGAATAAACCAGTCAACACATGGTTTTTGAGTGACTGTCAGTTCTGTTTTTAGAGCTGGGCATCTATCAGCAATCAAGACAAAAAACTTCCAAACACGTCTCTGCCTTCATGGAGTTCACACAACGAGGTCATGGGTAATTTATCAATCCAGATTGTTGCCAGTACCAGAGCCCAGAGAGAACAGCAGTGTAGCACAAGGACCAGGGGGTGTCCCTGAGAAAGTGACATTACCACTGAGGGTTGCAGGGAGACTGGGGATGGGGAGCAAGAAAAAAAACTATCTGGAAAATGAAGCAGTAAACTTGTGATGGTTGAGAGATGACCCCTGCCAAAAAACTGATTGTGAAGTGCAAGATGGGGGGAGAAGTCTCAGTGCTCAGGAAGTGAGGATTTATCCTGAGGGCAGTGAGAGGCCATCAGAGGAGGATAGAGACACAAAGACATGGGACGAGAGAGGGAAGGGTGTGGATAGAGAAGAGCTGTGCGAAGGGCAGGGTGAGCATGACTTGGCGTGGCTGGAGAAAGAGGACAGAGATGAATTTATGTTTCTGCATGAAGAGCTGCAGGCGATGATGGTGGAGGGGAGAGAGAATCTTATCACCTAGGCGAAGCGTTCTCTAGAGAAGCAGGAGTAGGAGAGAAGAGGAAGTAAATTTGAGACATTGTCTTTGCTCATGTGGCATCCTTAAAATGCAGTTTCTTAACTGGGCGGCGGTGGCGCACGCCTTTAATCCCAGCACTTGGGAGGCAGAGGCAGGCAGATCTCTGTGAGTTCGTAGCCAGCTGGTCTACAAAGAGAGTTCCAGGACACCCAGGGCTGTCTTCAACAACAACACCTACCCTCATCCCCGACCCCTGCCAAAAAAAACAGCAGCTTCTTTAAAATACCACCTTCTCACCTGTCAGGAAAACACCTGCCTGTCCTGTAACACCCATGAAGCCCTTCCCAGACTCCTCTCAAGAGACGTAAGTCCTGCTCATCGCTGGACCCATACCCACAAACTTCCACCACAGCCTTGGAAACTTTGACTATACTTCTCTGCATGTGGATGAAGAAGGTGATGATGATGTTCACTGAAAATTCTGTCCCAGCTGATACTGTGTGAGGACCCTTGCACACACAGGCAGCCTCCTTTAATCCAACAATGGCTTTTCAGTGTGAGTCATGTTCCCATTCTCCCTTCTCAAACAGAGCAAACTGAGGCCAAGGCAGGTCAGGTCATAAACCTAGTGAAGGTGGTGTTGCTGCTTTGGACAGAGCTACAATTCAAGGCCCAGGGGTCTGATTCTGGGGTTTGTGATCTTAACCACTGCTTACACCCTAACTCCTTTTACTGGGTGGTGGATCCTTGAAGTTTGGGATCACTTATTATTAATAATGCCATTCCTGTAGGATAGTCTTTCTGTATGCTGTGAACATGTGTTGCTCTCATTGGTTGGTAAATAAAGCTGTTTGGCCAATGGCGAGGCAGAATAAGGTTAGGCAGTACATCCAAACTAAAGATGGAGGTGAAGAAGGGTGGAGTCAGGGCAGCTACCAGGCAGCTGCTGAGGAAGCAGGACGTATAGAAAATGAGGTAATAAGCCATGAATCATGTGGCAAAGCATAGATAAGAAATATAGGTTAATTTAAATATAAAAGCTAGCTAGTAATAAGCCTGAGCCATTGGCCAAACATTTGTAATTAATATAATCCTCTGATTGGTTATTTGGGAATTGGTGGGCAGGAGAGAACCATCCATTTACATATGGAGCTCCAACGTGATATACCTACATCCACATAAAACCTGAAATAGCTTAAAGAAAAGAGTTCTAGAACACATAAATGGAGCCAGAAACAGCTTCTTAGTTCTGTCTCTCATGTGGGCTGTGGTACAGAGATGCTGTGGCATGTGGGCTTGAGCTCTAGCATGGCGGGGTCATGCTATGGTACACAGAAGCATCTCCTAGTCACACAGCGCATTACATGATGAATTTGGCTTTTGCTCATACAGAGAAAAAGGGTTAAGAAACACAGTAAGCCGGGCGGTGGTGGCGCACGCCTTTAATCCCAGCACACTCGGGAGGCAGAGCCAGGAGGATCTCTGCGAGTTCGAGGCCAGCCTGGGCTACCAAGTGAGTCCCAGGAAAGGCGCAAAGCTACACAGAGAAACCCTGTCTCGAAAAAACCAAAAAAAAAAAAAAAAAAAGAAACACAGTAAAAACAGATTCAGACAGTAAGGCCTCTAAACAGGTCATGGTGTATTTAAAAGATGTGCTTAGGCTTGAGAGAATATATATATATATATATATATATATATATATATATATATATATATATATATATATATAATCCCTAAATTAAAAATAAAGATTTAAAATAATAAAATAAAGTTCTTAAAAAATGGAGTAAAGTAAAATAAATGAGCCACATGAGGATGGAAAATACACAGAGAGTCTGGATTATGTATGTTGCTGTGTTTTCTTTGGATTTTTTTTTTGACTGTTAACAAGTTAACTGTTGAGAGACATTTGATTGTGGAAACTGCTAGGCTAAACCAACCTATATATTTTAAAAATATCTTGACTTCAAAATTTGAGTCTGGGGATATGTTGTTTGGGAAAAGAGGTTCTGCTTTTGTTTCCACAGAAAGTGAGAGTCTGTAAGATTCATTCCAGGTTGGAAGAGATCAGGTTTGATTAAGGAAGACCCCCTGAAAATTCTGACTACAGACATGGGAAAATAAACCTAAAGTAACTACAAGACATGTGATGTATATTTTACCTGCTCAAATATAAAACAAAAAATTATCTCTGGCTGGCTTATATAGAATACACAGTTTATATTTATATTAATAAAGTTATGTATGTTACCTTTTAAAGTCAGAACAGGGGGAACAGACATCAATAAAAATGGATGGCCCAGATGATTCAATGCTTCAATGTACCTGTTACAGTTTCCTCTGAGTTCTGCATCCAAAATAGCTTTAAGGCTGCTAACTGAGATGGACTAGCCACACAAAATACCCTAGTCAAGATTTCACCATAATTCTAAATTTTCTCAGGGTCCCCATAAGACTACCAGTACCTCCAATCAACAGGAAGTAGTCTAGAGAACTACTTCCAAATTCCCCAAATATTGTTTATGAATGTTTGTTTTCATTTAAGGGGGATTTGTTATAAACTGTTAATGGTCATAGTCAATCTCTTTCTAAAGAAGAAAGGGGGATATGATACAGAAATGATGGGGAAAAGGATAGATTATTATGATAAAAAGGTAGATTATTAAATCTACTTTAATTAAAAAAAACAACTGTTAATCTCAAAATAGTTTACATTGGTATGGATTTTAGTTTATTGATACAAATTTAAAGTCAATTTTGTTACACTGTATGTATATGTCTACTCTTGTTTATGCAGCTCATTTAAAAATGTATAATTAGCCGGGCGGTGGTGGCGCACGCCTTTAATCCCAGCACTCGGGAGGCAGAGGCAGGCGGATCTCTGTGAGTTCGAGGCCAGCCTGGTCTACAGCGCGAGATCCAGGAAAGGTGCAAAGCTACACAGAGAAACCCTGTCTCGAAAAACCAAAAAAAAAAAAAAAATGTATAATTAAAAAATACAGATTAATAGTTGTCCATAATAGTCAAACTTATAGCCATATTAATTAGGTTTTCTAGGTATACAAACATATTTCAATTAGATAAATAATCTTCAAACACTTCAAAGACCAACAGAATATGGCATTTAAAATGTTTTAAGAACTTAGACTTTTCTTGACAGTGAGATATGTCTGCTCCTGGCAGTACCAGTTACTTCAAAGAGGATGATGGGCAGAGAAGAAACTCCATAGGAGTTTGCTTTCATTATGGCAAGATTAGCCATTTGGGCAAGAAACTGCTCTTGGCTGGACTACTTAACAGTATGTTGTATAAAATGGACATACAGGACCCATAGGAAAGTGACCACTGAACTTTGCCCAAACAAGGCAGGATGGCCCTTCAGGTTCCTGCTTCACAAAAGAAACTGCCAGACATTCTGCAGGACACAGAGGAAAGTGACTGACAAACTTTGTCAAAATAGGTGAGACAGTCCTTCAAATTTCCTGCTTCATTAAAAAGTCTGCCAGATACTCTATGCCTATAGGCTGGAGATGGATGTCCCAACATTAAAGAAGAACTTTGGGTGACTGTCCAGGCAGCGAGATGTCTTTATCATTTCTAGAATTTTGGAAAGTGCTTGCAATGTACTTCTTTCTTACTCAGGTAATATTATAATCTTCTGGCATCTTTGATGGAGTTGAAGACTAGATAGTTATAATTAGAGTTTTCTTTAATTATGATAAAAGGTAAATTAGATATGAAACTTCAGACTCACAAACATAGGATAGATGATATTTTCTTTAATTTTGCTGAATACAAATAGACTAGATATTGTAACTGTAATTCTTGCTTAATAACTGTTTCGTTATATGTAATTTTACTATGTTAAAATTAAAACCTTTCTTTTTGATTAGACAGAAAAGGGCAAATGCTGTGGGATGGTTTTTCTGTACTCTGAATATGTGTTGCTCTCATTGGTGAATAAAGTTGTTCAGCCAATGATGAGGCAGAATAAGGTTAGGTGGTGCAATCAAACTGAAGACAGAGACGAAGAAGGGCAGAGTCAAGACAGCTTCTAGCCAGCCACTGAGGAAGCAAGACGTGTAGAAAATGAGGTAACAAGCCACAAACCACGTGGCACAGCATAGATAAGAAATATGGGTTAATTTAAATGTAAGAGTTAGCTAGTAATAAGTCTGAGCCCTTGGCCAAACATTTATAATTAATATAAGCCTCTGAGTGGTTATTCAGGAACTGGTGGGTGGGAGAGAACTGTCCATTTGCAAGCCATTTTAAATGTTTCTAATGCCCAGTAGAACTACTAGACTGTAAGAGGTCCTTCCAAAGGTTTGTTAGGGAGAGCTGATGACATAGTGATATTGCTTAGTTAGAGGAGGCTTAGTATTACTTATGTAACTCTGATGTAGCGGTTGGCAACATCTTTCTGTAAGGAGAGAGTAAATATTTTAGGTCATGCAGGGGCTCTGCTGCTGGAGTGCAAAAGCTGCCAGAGACAAATGGGTGTGGCCAAGTCGCAACAGAATTTTATTTATGGATACAGAAATGTGAATCTCATGCAGCTTTATGTCATTAAATCTTATTAAAATGTAGAAGGGTTTTACATCTTAAAAATCTAAAACCATTTTAAATTGAGAAACTGTTCTTAGCTTACTGGCTATAAAGCCATGTTCTGTTCAGATTCCACCTGAGTGCCATGGTCAGCCAACTCCTGGTATAGACAGCAGCCTGGAACTGGCAGGTGGAGATGCACTGGACTCTCTGAGGTTCAGGCAGGTGAGGGAGAGGCACCCATCAATCCAGGGCTGCTCAACACCCCAAAGTTTCTCTGATAAAAGCTTTGCAGTCAGGGGCTCAGGCACTGTCTGTGAGGATGCAGGCATGAGGTAGGACCGGCGGTGGCACACCAGGTAACCCAAAAGCTTTTCCTCTACTTCGTAAGATTCTATGCCATGGCTCCCTGGGCTTTAGAGTGGAACCACAAGGGCTGAACTGATTGGAGGGAAGGTCACTCAGAATTAGTAAAAACGTCTGAGTTATAAAACGGTTTATAAGAAATGATGCTTCATTGCATTCAAGGACATTCGGCAATCAAACGAACACTTAACAAAGGGCTGTCAATAATCCATTTGAATTGCACTTCGCATTTTTCAAAGTGCTTTCCAGTACATTATTCCCATTGATCTGCCCAGGCACCCTAGGAGGCAGACAACCCCATTCTACAGGAGAGGTCACTGCGAACACCTTCACCGGAGGCAATGGCTCAGAACAGCTATGGACTCTACCCTGCAGCGGCCGTGACCTGATACAAATGGAGACTTCATGTTATGAATCTTGCTCATGAAGAATAAGTATCTCTAACTCAAGCTTATTTTTAACCCCTGTGAATCTCCTAGAAATGTGGCCACACACCCAGATTAGATGAGGAGTTCGTTGCACTGCACTAATGAAACACCCAGGGAATTCACTGAAAGTCCTTCCCAAGTCTGAAGGAGGAAAGCTGTATCTCAAATGATGAGAACAGCTTCACTCCGGCTCAGATTTGTTTTTCTCCTGCTAACTTAATTGGGAGAAAGCAGAGCAGGGAGGTCTGATACCAGAGGAAGGAACCTCCAACTTCTGTGCTACACATTCCCTTTTGCCTCTCAGGGAAAGTGTGGCCTGGGGGACATGGCATGCTGCCAGCCAGCCAGCCCTCGTGAACTGGGGGACGAGTCTGTTTTTCCTACCTTCCAGCTTGGGCCTCTCATCGGCATTTCTCTGCCAAATTGGGCTTTGGCGCACCTAAGGATGCCTTGGCAAACTTTGTTAATTTCCCAAGAGCAACTTCCTGGTTCTTAATTAGGCCTTTTATTCCTAGATGTCTATATTTAACTGCGCTCCGTTAGCGCTGACCTCTTTTGGACAGTGCCAAGAACGTCAGGGAGGTGGCAGTTGAGTCTAGACGGGGCAATTATTCAGATAACTAAGCTCCCCCAACTCATTCTTACAGTGACACCCTAAGAGGAGAGGGCCAGCCACTGAGTGACGCCTTCCTGGGCTCATTAAATAACTGCTCTGTGCCTTCCTTCACTGTGCCCAGGGAGGCAGAGAGCAGCGTTCACCAAAGGCAGAGTGTGAGCCAGCTACACGATTTCACCGCTGAGCTCAAAGGGACAGAGCATGGAGGGGGACGTGGGGATTGAAAAAAAAAAGGAGGATTTGAGAAAGGATCTCAACAGTGCAAGGAAACTACAAGAGTGTCCATCCCCCTTGTCTGTAAAATTGAAAATAATCTAACTTTATGTGAGAGGAGAAATGAATCAATAGATCGTGGTGCATTCACACAATGGGACACAATTTAGCAGGAAGAGCATGAATGCGTGAGAATCACATGTATCCAAACAGAGAACTCTAAAAACATCATTGAGCCTAC